ACTCCAGAGGTTCCTTTCACTTAATTGACAATTGCCTCTTTCTACTCAACTGAGAATCAAAAACACGCACGGCTTCAAAACAGTTCACAGGCCCGATGGCGGGTGCGGTGGGCTTGCTCCGGGCAGGCCGGCTCTTCCTCTGACAGCTTGGGAAGGCTTTTCCCGTGGCTTCAGATGGCTGCTGGAAAATGACTACTCTCACAGCTGACTCCCTGGAGGTGGCCATGACATCAGGGTTCAAGGTCAAAATTAAGACTTAAAAAAAAAAACTGTTATGAGGAATGTTGTTCCTTTGGTGCATTCACTGAGTGTCACAAAAGGGAGTCTGCCCAATGGAGGGTCCCCCGCATCGCCCTGCAGCCCCAAGAACTGAGAAACGGCGCCTTGGTGGGCACCTCAGAGGAAGGACCAGCGTGGGGGCCTGCAAGAAAAGGACCCCCAGCACGTGACCACTGCAGTGATTATCAGGGCTGTCCCCTCCCGATGCACACCTCTCTGCCCACCTTTCTTCAATGCAAGCAGGCATCTGCTTCTCTCAAAACGTCAGCCACTTGACCAAATAAACACAAAACTTCCTAAAGTTGTAGGCAGTGTTTTTCCCACAAATCTCTAAGAGCTTTCTGTGAGTCCTGCTAGCACTTAAATCCATAAACACAAAACCATGAGCTCCAGACACCCTGGCCAAAGCTGAGCCAGGCGCAGTCCCTCTGAGGTGTCTGCATGACTGGCGGGGGTGGCTGCATGCCCCGCACACTTTCTGTATTTGTCATTGCTAACTAACCCCAGGAACGCCAATCCCTTGAAGGTCCAAGCACGAACCAGGGACGGGAATAACAGCTAAATACAGTTGGCCTTTCTGAAGAGGGAAGAAAAGACTCCAAGTGGAAGCATGATGAGGCAAAGACCGTCTATACTATTCTTTTTTAGCCTCTGAAACCTCATGGGACAAAATATCATCTCAAAAGGTGTACTGAGGAGGTTCTGCGTGTCCACACCAAATAAAAATAATGCGCTTCCAATTGTGTCAGAACGACGAGATAAACTGACCAAGATTTCCAAAAAAATTCCAATCCTTCTAGTGGATGCTGCCCAGTGCAAGGCAAGACCTGAAGGGTTTCTGCGGCCTGAACATCGCGGGCAGGAGGGGATGGTCAGTCTCTCTGACCAGGGCTGTGCGAAGGGCAGGGAGGAGGCCAAGGCTTATGGCGGTGTATCTGTACTCAAATACAGAGATTAAAAAATGCTAAAGAGAAAGAAAGAAAGGAGCGCACACAGCTGCCGTCCCCTAAACAGACCTCCCATCTGCCATCCACGATTTGCATGTCACCTTCTCCGGGCTCATTTGTACTTCATTAACTGCCATTGACTTAACAAGATTTATGCAAATGGCACCGTAGGAGCTCCCTAACTCCCACTGCAATCAAGTGATTATGTATGTACAACTCTCCACAGCAATGAAAAATTAATATGTGACAAGCCCACTTGCCGCTGAGCCGGGCCTCTGGCTTTTATTTTTCTTGCTTTGCCTTTTAATTTTTACTCGAAAAGGCCTTATCAGTAAAAAGAAGAAACCGAAGTCTCTGAACCAATCTCCTCCAAGACCCCAGGAAGGACAAAAAAAGCAGCAGACCCAGGTCCACAAGAAATGAAGTTACATTCCAGAAACAAAGTCGTATTCTTGACGGGGAATCTTTGGGAGAAGAAAGAGAAACTCACTGACCATCACAATTCGGCTAGCTCCCACACGTCAGCGGGGGTGGCTGGCGATTAGAGTGAAGCAGATACCAGACGGAAGTGAAAGGGGTTAACATAAGCCACTGCAACATGTCCAATCTGTGATATCAGGGGTTAGGTTGAAGGCTGCCTTGCCTGGGTCCTAAACCATCCACTGTAAGACTCCTGTCAGGGGGAAAAAGTCTCTGCATTAGCAATTCCATGCAGGTTGTTGAGGTTCTAAAGCGATTCCTCTGCCATTAGGCAAAGGTCCATTAGCCAGCTTGTAAGGCTTCGATCATGTAGACGGAGTCTTTCACGTGGGCTGAGCCCTAAGACAAAGTTCTCTGCAGCTGGGAGAAGAGAAGAGAACACGTTTTCGGCATACACAGTAAGGCAGGCAACGGAGAGACCCCTCCCACCCGGAGAAGGGCTGAGCATGGCTGTGTCATCCCTGGAGAAACATGTTGCTGCTGGCAGTCTTAGAAGTTTCTTTACACAGTCATCAGATATTTCTGTCTGAGGTCGGGTTCGCTTATTTAATTTAAAACATGTAACTTTGCTTCCTGAGCTTTCTGAAGGCTTTTCATCAATGGGCAGTGGAAAGAGTGCAGACACGGGGGCAGAGAGGCCTGGTCCAAATCCTCGGACCTACTTCCTAGCTGCCTGGTCTAGGGCCCTCCCTCCCTCTGTGTTTAAAATAAGGAGATCACAGCTACCACAACTGTGGCGATGCTGAGGATTAAATGGGGTGCCGTATGCACAGCACTTACGTAATAAGCGCTCATTTAATTGTTCATTTATTCAACAAATAAATCAGCTGAGTTTCTGGAATATGCCCATCAGGCTCCATCCCCCGCAATCCTCTCATTTCATTTCCACGCTGAAGTCATCACACCAGGTGGGTGAGGAATTCAGGCTACCTGGAGTGATCTATGTTCCTTTAGAAACATGGGCACACACAGGGATGTGAGATAAATCGATACCACCGTCTGCAAACCCACATCAATCCACCCGATGCACACAGAGGCTTTGACAAGGGTGCCCTGAACATGACTAATTTAAAAATCCAGTTTTGCTAACATTTAAAAATTCTCTGTGGAACCTCCACATCTAGCTGCTTCAAGGGCTTCAGACATCATCCAGTTCCCCATTTTACAGATGAGGCACCCGAGGCCTGGGGAGCCAGCCACGGGAGGGAGCTGTCTGTGGCAGTGCGAGGCGGGCAATTAGGAGGGACAAGGAGCTCCCTGTGCCCAGGAGTCACCGGGAAATCAGACCATGATTTAGATTTCAACGAGATTACTTTGAACATTCACAATCGAAAGGCTTCCAAGGACTGGATAATACTCATTTTACGCTTGATGGTCAACTCCAATCTGCACACATATTGAAAAGCTAGCCTGCAAAGCTAGTCCCCTCCACAGATGAGCAGGGTACAAATTGAATGAAGGTTCCAATTATACCGGGGGCCGCCTGGCTCTGCACAGACGGACTCCTGCCAGGCTGGTGAGCACTCCCACCCAAATCAACCACAGACAGGCATTAAGGAAATGGCCTATTATTAAGTTTTAATACTCCCCAGTTTATGAAAAAGAAAATAATATGTTAAATGATTTTTATAATTCCAGTTGAAAAAGGTTATCAATGGCATAAAAATTACACATGAAAATTAGCTTATGCAGATTTAGGTTATAAATAAATGCACCAAGAAAGAATAAACACCTACGTGCAGAGCCCTCTAAAGAACCTGTTTTATAGTGGAACCGCCACCCACCATCAAAGCGGAAGGTTCTGTGGTTGCTGTTGTCTTTGAATATATGGAGGGAAGAGAATTTCTACTAAAGGTGCCCCGTGCCAAACCACACATTTGCAGCCTGGTAGCTGAACGTATGTCTTATACAGATGCATGAGGACCTCGGTGACCACCTGTAGGCCTCCTCCTTCTCTGCCTGGCAAAGGCAGGACCTATGAGGCAGGAATTAGAAAGCCTGCTCCTAGGCAGGGTCGGTGACGCTGTTGGCAGAGGTGTGGTTTTTGCAATAGTTCCTGAGCTCCTTGGGAAACTCTTTGGACTCCCTCCTCTGGTCTCACCCAAGATGCTGTGGTCCTATTTAACCCCTTCCTCTCCCAGGGCTTCACGATGACACTGCCCGGCCCCCTCTAAGGCTTGTTCCTATTTGCTTCAAATGGACGAAACCTGCATCACCAAAATAATCCAACTCCCTTTGTGGAAAGACTCTACTCTTTTTAAGGGCAGCCAGTGTCTACACAGTTCCTAAGGGATTAGTGATGCCATGCAGGTGCCCGCAGGGGAGAAGAGAGCAAAGCAGTGAGCTGGACCAGAGGTGCACATGGTCACAGGCCCCGTGCCTGAGAGGCGGAGCCATTCCCCTGTCCACAGAGGCTTTTGCTGAAGGATGTACTCTAAATCAATTGGCTTTAACAAACCAAACGGTGACATTTCCAGAAGCCACTGTGTGGGGTTCAACTCTATTTTTATTCTCCTTGGGAATCGAACCACAATCTACGTCACATATGAACTCCAGGGCTTTTTTTTTTTTTTTTTTTTTTTTTTAAACTGGAGATATAAAGTGATTTAGAATCTGGTTTCTGGGCTAATGAAACCCTGTTCCAGGCTAGCAACATAGGCCAAAACAAATGCTTGAATTCAAGTCCTGTTGTGTAATGAGGAAGTTTAATTAAGGCCCCACATTACAGCTGTAAATGTTCCTTTATGTAATAAGGTCTAAATGAAACTGAACCTAATCAAAGTTACAATTCCTTCATTAGCAAATTACAAACAAGAGCACACAGCTGACACACCGGCTATGATTATCACAACTAATTGCCTCGTTGCAAACCAGCCTGAAACAGCGTTCAGATGTCCGTCTGTGAGAGCAAATTAGGGCCACATCGGGCTGTTCCTGTGATCACAAGGGGCTCTTGTAGGCGATCTGAGTTACTCCTGTTGCCCGGCGGCCCGAGGCCCAATCAAAGCCGCGCTACCAAGGCAGCCTTTGAAGACTCTCAGCCTGGAAACGCACTCCATATGCAGGCGGGCAGCCCGTACTTCATTAGGTCTGTTGTCTCCGTTCCCTCTTCTCATTCTAATGATCCCATTTGAATACACACAGGAACTCTGCTAATTGATGTCAAGTGAGAGACTTCTACATTCATCAACAGAGCACATCAGACAGACCTTGGCGCGCACACCAGCATCATCTCTGGGCAGACCTGAGGTATATCTCTGGCGACAGGGAGGGGAGGATGGGGACGTTGCTCACCTGTTTAATTGGGATGGCTCTGCCGCTCCCGATGCTGTCCGCACGGCTCTCTAGGCCTTTCTTCTCTTTGTCTGGGTCGCTCCCTTTCCGAGACTGCAAGGCAAAAGGAAAGTTGGCATCTGGGTAAGGGCTGAGGTTCACAGACAGGGCTCTGCCCCTCTTTGTAGAATTTCTGCCAATACACATTTAGAAAACACGCATGATCTATGTGTGAGCACACAGACACGTCCAACAAGCTAAGTAGTTCATCTCCACTGACTCATCATTTTAAAGAGGATCATCTAAACTTTCCCCCGGACTTTTCCACTGCAAAATTGCCTTTTAATTCTTTTCTTAAAAGTTCAAAATTCAATTACTGGGAACCAATGGGCCATACAAGAGAGTAACACCCAAAAGAAAAACACATTCGAAAGCCGCAGTTAACACAGCCGAGGGAAAAAGGGACTGCTCAATATTTATTTGGAAAATCTACATAAACATACGTATTTAATTAACGTTTGAATGATTTAAAAATTCTGTTAACTAGTCAGCTGTGTGACTTTACGGCACACCCTTGATTAGTATCAAGGTGCAGCTGACATTTCCTTTTATTGCTTCTGGGTGGTTGGAAAATGGCAAATTCGAAGTTAAGCGAATGGACAATACCACAAAAAATAACGAAGGGAAAGAAACCCCTGAAAATCGCCTTTTCACAAAAGGTCAGTATTTGGGAAATAATGAACGGCTTTGTCTGCCAAGGTCCTGAGTCAATTATCTCCAAGGCATTGCTGACGCGCTATGAACGACCGAGTCAGCTGGTACAGAGAGGGAAGGGTGACGACCTTTAACCCAGGGAAGCCCCAACCAAAAGCGCACCTTGACTTGGGGAAAATTGAAGGAGCTCCACCGTCTCCGTCTCGTCTCTCCATGGCACGAGAAAGCGTGAGCACAATGATTTTCTGACAGATTTATTTTATTATGAGAGAAAGATCGGAGACTCGTCCTCCTTAATAACTGTGCTGACAAGTGACAACTTCACTCCATTACTTTTCAATGGGAACATTACTCACGCAATATTGAAAATGGAGAAACATTTTCATGTGCTTTTCAAATCTGAGATGATATATGAAATGAACAGACTTTGTGGTGTCCACTGCTACAAGGGAAAGCTAATGGAATCCAGGTTCAAAGGGATGCGAGATGGAACAGCTGATTTAAAAAATACACACATTAGAAGGGGCAATGTCATGGGTCATAATAAAAACAAGGGCTGATGGGACACATTCAGGATTCCAGCAGAGGCTGTTACCAAATTAAGGAGGAGGACAAGGAGCACAGTTCCCATGATGGAAACTCAGATCCAGCACTTCAAAGCGAGCTACTCTCCTGGGTAGCTGTGTTCATTAGGAAACATGCTTCTCAGATGGTGAGAAGAGCTGATGCTTATTGAACACCTACTATGTGCCAGGCACTGTGCACTTGTATCCCCTTAGGATGGTAGAGATCTAGAACGAGATGACAAGGAATGTATCAAGCAACGAACAGAAAGTTGCAGATGAATATACGACACAGGGTTTAAACTTGGGGGCCAGAAGGAAAATAGAGATATTTATTAATTCCTTGTCAAGTTAAGGGCTCATTTTTCTCTTTAATTAATTCTTAATAATGTAGAGTAAGAACTACACAATAGCCTTAAATTCTTTTATCCACATCCCAATCGATGAGAAACCTGGCTCCTGAGGTTCCTAGTTTGAAAATAAATTTCAAATCACACAGTAATAACATTAAATTTTTTTTTTTAGTTAACAAAGAATATTTAAGAGTACTCTGGGAGTTTTACAGTTTCTAAATTTCTAAATTTGGAAATCCATCTTCATTATTCTCCATTAACCAGAGTGATTAACAAAACAAACATTAAAAAATTAACACCCTCCTCAAGGCAGTACATCTGTCCCCCCAGCCACTCCATTCTCACAGCAGAATTTCAGATTCCACTTGAAATGGGAAGAGAGAGCTAAATGCACTGCTGCTAACACCTTAGAGCATGAGCTGGGAAGAAGTAACCTCGGCATCTCATCATGCACTCTGAGATACAGGAGACTGAAACCTCACTAAGACTTCACTGCAAAAATAAAACAAAATTTCCTGACAACTTTAACAATTTGCTGGAGACAGTGAAAAAACTAAGATTTCCAGGAAAGAACAGCGGCAAGCTGTGAGGCCAAAGAGTCTGCTGCAGCTGAGCCCCACGACTACTTAGCCAACATCGCACTGTATCTGTAAAGTTGAAATCCGACAACCAGACTAAATAACAAATCCAATGGACACAGACACCAGAGCACATACAAATTCCCAGTGAAGTCTCCTTTCTCTGCCAACTTGGGAGACATCCTTCTGTGATGCTGGAACGGCTCCGAGGAATCATCAGACACAGGGCAGCCCTCAGCGCCCACCGCGTCTGCCAGGAGCGACCCTGCCCTGCATCCAGCCTGCTGCACACCTCCAGAAATGTCACAAGAGCAGATCACACCCATCCCAGAAGGGCTGCAGATTTAAAGTGAATGCACAGCAAGCCACCATAGTGGCTGCTTGGCCTCCAACAAACACTCAATGCAGAGGAAAGAAAGCCTGAGGAAATCCAGTTGTCACCTGCTTCTTTACAAAAATGTTTAACCTCCCCTGACGTGGTGAAGGAAGCTATGAGGGACACCCCCATCAACTACCTGCCTGCAGGGAGAAGAGCATCACTGCCAAGAGCCCTCCGTATCAAACAGAAACCTGCTTTCCCCCTTTCAACCAGTGGCTACGTCAGCGGCGGCTGGAACACACTATGGGAGGTACCCAGGAGCACCTTCTCTGCAAAAACAATGAAATGCCATTCAAACAATTCTATTCACACTATGAATCTGGCTGCCTTATTTTTTTATAGCAAGTTTCTGAGCTGGGCAACATATGTTCACAATCTTTACTTCCTGTGTATGCTCGGCTCTGTTTAATGGTATCAGCATTATATGGTAAGCTTTGAGAAAAAAATCACATAAATGACATCGTTATCATAAAGCTTGAAAATGGACAAAGCAATGCAATGTATGGTTTCAGGACTCACACTGGAGCAAGTTTACAGCATAGACACGGATAATATATGCCAAATTCAGGTTCGTGCTGATCCCTGGGCAGAGAGGCAGGAGAAATGCATTGTGGAGTCACTTGAGGAAGCTGCAACTTTTACTTAGGATTTGCTTATTTCTTGCAGTAGCAGTGTGGCAGAAAAGGGCTTGTATCTGATGAGGTATGTGGTGGGTACACATGTGTTTTTTATTTCTGTATGTTTGAAAAATTTTTCTAATAAAACATTTTAACCACATGTAAACTAGGGCCACTAAACTAACTGCTCCAACAACACATATTACCAAACCAGGGATTAAATGGATATAGTCTTTTAATGTTTGTTTTCTTCAGTGATTTCTTTTTCAAAGAAGTAAGTGAAATAAAATATAACTTAGTATTTGATTAGTAAAGTATAATTCCTACTGCAAATGTAACATATAATTTGCTACTATTGCAGAGATTTTGTTTGTACTATTTTGTAAAAAAGCGTAATTCATTTTGTTTAAAAATTGTCTATGAAAATATGCAAACAAACATCTGGGAGCACAAAATGTTAGCCCAGAGCAGTACATTACAGTCTACTTTATAAAATGGATAAGAACAGTGTCAGAAAAATGATGCGTGTACTACTTAATTAACTATGGCCTCTTTACGACGTTCTAATAAATAAGGTGGATAGTGCCCCTGCAGCTGGCTCTTACAATCCCAGGCTGCACGGATTCTTATTCACTCAGATCGTCTGCATACCATGCATCTGTCCTCCGACTAGACACTTCCAAATAAATAGCCATTTTGACATTTTATGCCTAGAATTACCAACAACTGCCAGGGATGAATAATCTATTAAATGTTACATATTTAAAAGTAGAAGAAATCTGGTAATGATAAAAATTTAATTTCTTAATCGCTAAAATTTCAAGATTAATTTGCCTTCTTTTCATTCCTTGGATGACACTGACATCTAGTGGAGTTACTATTTCCAGGATCTTCAGCTTAAGAATACACCGTGTACATCACCACCACCATCACCACCATCACCACCACCACCACCACCACCACCAACACCACCATCACCACCACCACCACCAACACCACCACCACCACCACCACCACCACCACCA